CCAGGTCGGATTCGCCCCGGATGCTCAGCGGCCCATACAGCGGTGGGGACTCACCGGTACTCCAGGGAGAACTTGGTCAGATACTGGCTGTTGTGCAGCCACTTGAACTCGAGGGGCCAGCTGCCCTCCGCCATGCACGTCAGGACCAGGCGGTTCCCCTCCAGGTGGACCTGGCTCCGCACCGGCTCCGTCTTAAAGTACGGGGAGACATCGTCTGCGGAGAGAGGAGGAAGAGGGGGTTAGAACCATGAGCTGCCCCACGCCGGCCCGGTGAACAACCTGGCCGGCCCCATAGCCTGCCAGCCCCACAGCATCAGGACCACTTCATCATGGGCAGGACCATAACTCAACAGCACGTGGGCAGGGGGATGCTGGTGGCCACCTCTCCGTCCTCCTGTCCCAGCCAGGGCCCCCAGACCCCTCCACTGGCCATTTTCCCCCCACTGAGCCATTTCACAAGCCTATCGACAACAGCTTAGGCCATCTAGGGTTTATCTAAGCTGCTTGCTTTGCTTTATTCTTGGCTGCCTTTGTAGCATTTCAGAAGCACCAAGCTTTTAACTCGGGGGGTGAAGGGGGTGGAGGGGCTGGGAGCAGAGCAAGACATAAACACTTACTCCTCTCCTGTTTTATTTGCTAAGTAAAACTATAAATTGAAACACACAGCTCCATTTTCTGCTTAACAAATGGAAGCCCTTTTACTTCAAAGACACATTCATATTCCCCCAGCAGCTTTCAAGTGCACTTTCAATCACGGCTTTGGGTTTTTTCTTTGGGGTAGGGCTTTGCTTTCTTGTGTGCACAAGCTGAATTCCTGCCACAGCTCTCCACACCGTAAGCCGGCACCAAAGCAGTGCCTGTGCCCGTGGGCTCAGCCTGCTCCAGTGCCCCACCGCCCTGGGGGGGTGTCACAAGTTTGCAGGAGCTCAGAGGCACCCTGACACCGTCAGACCTGCGCTGGGGGGTCCCTCTCCTCTCCTCGCTGGCGGGGCCCGGCTCCTGCACACCCTGGGGCGCCCGCTTGCTGCACCCACGTGGAAATGCCCATCTGGTTTACAGTCGGCTGCCCTGTCCTGCCTGTCCCCGGGGTGGGCACGGTGGTGCTAAATGCCAGGCAAGTCATTAGGCAGGGAAGGAGCAGCTTGTGGCTCCTTAATTTATTCCTCCTCTCTGACCTTCAGCAGTGCTGGCTGGCGGGGGCAGCCCTTATCCCGGTGTCCCTGCCCCAGGTCTGGGCTGGATCCGGGCATCGGGGCACCTCGCAAAGCAGGCATGGGGCACCGGGGCCAAACCCTCCAGCAGCCCCGCTCCCCAGCAAGCCCCCCGACGCACCAGGGGCAGAGGGG